GTATAGATAGGGCTTGTGGTAATGTGGAGTTTCGGGAACTATTTGTTAAAGCCCGGGTTTTTCATTCAGAACCTTTTGGCTCTGATCATCATGCCCTTATTATTGATTGTTGTTTCAATGAGGAGAGGATTTTGAAGAGATTTAATTTTGAAGCTATGTGGGTTCAACATCCTGATTTTTTAGGGATTGTAAGAAAGGGTTGGTTTTATGATAATCAAATGCTTATTGACAGGGTGGAAGATATTGTTTGTAGATTGAATTCTTGTAGGAAAGTTCTTATTGAATGGAGCAGATTAGCTTTTCCTAATAATCAAAAGCTTATTGCTGATTTGCGATCCCAGCTTGCTAATTTACATTCCGGTGTCTTAACAAAAGAGAAGTTAGCTCATCAGAAGAGAAGCTAGCTCATATTGAAGAGGTGACTCAGCATATTGAGGAGGTTTGAGATAGGGAGGAGGTGTATTGGTGGCAAAGATCAAGGATTCAATGGTTGAAATTTGGAGATTGCAATACAAGGTTTTTCCACACTACTATTGTCCAAAGGCGTGCTAGGCGTGCTGTCCTTAGGCTTAAATCGAAGGATGGTCTTTGGCTTGAGGAATGCAATGAAATTAATAGTGAATTTGCAAGATTTTATTCTGATCTTTTTTCTTACAAAACTTTAGTTGGCACTGATGTGGTTATGGAGTATGTTCGTGCTGTGGTTTCAATTGAGGATAATAAGATGCTTTGTGGCGCAGTGGGGAGGAATGAGATTAAGAAGGCTGTGTTTGCTCTTGGTGCTACCAAAGCTCTAGGACCGGATGGCTTCTCTGCACTGTTTTATCAGTTTTCTTAGAATGAGGTCAAGGAGGAGGTATGTGATATGGTTGTTCAATTCTTCTCTGGTAATTCTGATATTGGTAGTATTAATGCTACTAATATTGTTTTAATTCCTAATGTGGATAAACCTGAAGTTATATCTCATTTTCAACCTATTGGTCTTTGCAATGTGATTTATAAGATGATTGTAAAGATTTTAACTATTAAACTAAAAGGGTTAATGGATAAATATATTTCTCAACAACAGCAGGCTTTTATTGCGGGAAGGCTAATTAATGATAATATAATCCTTGCTCATGAAGTGTATCATCATTTGGAATTGAAGAAGAAAGGTTATGTGAAATTGGCTTTAAAAATTGATATAACCAAGGCTTATGATCGTGTGCGTAACAGTCCTCATCCCACCCCCCAAGGGTCTTTTGGACTAGGACCACCCACATCACTGCAATGGAAGCCAACTTTTTTCAAAGTGGTACTTGAGTTATTTCTCACCCTATCAAAGAAGTTTTTGAACCTTTCCATTACTCAAACCGCTAACCTCTACCACCATAAGAAAGTTGAGGTTAAATCTGGTAACATTGAGTTAGGAATAACCCAAGTATTACCTTGGAGAAAGCTGGCCTCTGATGCAGTAATGTGGGTGTGCCTAGTCCAAAAGACCTCTGAGGAGTAGGATGAGGACTGTTACAATATGGAGCTGTCCTATCTTTTGGTTGTTATGGAAAAGATGGGGTTTTGTAAGAAATGGATTAACTGGATTAAGAAGTGCATTTCTTCCATTCATTTTAACCTTCAGGTTTCTGGACGTGATTGGGCATGTATTTGTCCTAGTAGGGGGATAAGGCAAAGGGATCCTCTCTCCCCTTACCTCTTTATTTTTGCTATTGATGTGCTTTCTCTAATGGTGCAATATCATGTTGAGAAGGGAGATTTGAAAGGTATTCGTCTGGGTAGTAAGTGCCCTATTCTTTCACATTGCTTTTTTGAGGATGATGCTTTATTTTTCATCCATGCTGAGAAGAATAATTGTCATGTTTTGAGAAAAATTTTGGATGTATTTTGTGCTGCCTCTGGCCAAGAAATGAATTTGGATAAGTCTAGTGTCTTTTTTTTTTTTTTCTGCTAATGCTACAAATGGTATTAAGAAGGAAATTACTAAGGTGTTGGGTATTAAGGACACGATGCAACCTGGAAATTATTTTGGCCATCCCGTGCTGTGGGGGAAGTCTAAATCTGTGGTTCTTGAATTTGTTAAAGGCAAGGTGGGGAAGAGATTATAAGGGTGGAAGAAGAAGCTACTCTCCTTTGCGGGTAAGGAAGTTCTCATTAAATCTCTGGCCAACTCCATCCATGTGTACCTTATGGCATGTTTTTCTTTTCCTAAGAAAACTTGTCAGGATTTGGATAGGCTGATTTTTGATTTTTGGTGGGGCCAGAATGAGAGCAATCAAAACAAGATTCATTGGAAAAATCGGGAAAGTCTTACTCACTCTAAGAAGGAAGGAGGTTTGGGGTTTAGGAATTTTCAATGTTTTAATAAAGCTTTGCTTGCCAAGACTGTGTGGAGAATGGTGTATCGACCTGATGAATTATGGTGTCGACTTCTTAAAGGGAAATATTTTCCTAACTCCTCTGTTATGGATGCTGTTAAAGGGAATTGAGCTTCTTGGGGCTGGTATAGCATCCTTGAAGGGCGAGATTTGCTGAAGAAAGGGGTCATTTGGAGGATAGGGGATGGTTTGAAGGCAAGAGTTTGGTAGACAGGTGAATTCTTAGTTTGCTATTGGGGGGTTTGATGGGCCAGAATCTCTCTATAGATGATAAGAAATTGTTGGTGGCTGACCTGATCAGTGGGGGGAGTTGGGATCTATCCTGTATTAGGGACTGTATTGATAATGTTGAGGCTAATGATATTAGTGAGATTCACTTACCTATTCGATTTTGTGAGGATCAACTGGTTTGGCAGCATGTGAAGAATGGCCTTTATTCAGTAAAATCTGGTTACCACTTTGCCTTGAAGGAATTTGGGTCTGCTCCTCTTCGTAAGCCTTCTCGATCTTTTAAGATTTCTCAACGAGTTTGGAAAGGGGTATAGGACTTGCAGGCACCTCTGAAGGTTAAGCATTTTGTCTGGAGGTTGCTTAATGGTGCTCTTGCCACCAAAGAGGCACTTTTCAAAAGGAAGTGTTCTACTTCTGCTACTTGTCCTATTTGTGATGGTGAGTCTGAATCAATTGGGCATATGATGTTTTTTTGTCATTGGGCTCAATATTATTGGTTTGGTAGCTCGTTGGGTTTCTTGATTGACAAATTTGGGATAAGGAGTGTTGACGAGTGGTGGGAAGGTATGTTGTTGGGTAATAAGGGGTTGGCTGGATGATTTTGGTAGAAGTTTTTTGGCATTTTTAAGTTGGGAAATCTGGAAGGAGAGGTGTGATGTGGTGTTTAAAGGTAAAATGGTAAATGCTCAAGCTACTATTGAGCGTGTTACTCGGTCGATTGAAGAATTTTGGAGGTTGGATAATGTGAGTAATGCTTCACAGTATGTGAAATGCAAATCTGAGTCTGAATGTGATGATGGCTAGAGGCCTCCTCTCTTGGGCATTGTGAAAATTAATATTAATGGGTCCTTTTCATCTCAGAAGAAAGCTGAAGGTGTTGGGATTGTTCGTATAGATAGTGATAGGGTTTTTTTGGGTGGGCTAGCAAAGAAGGTAAGGGTGGTTTCATCCTTTTTGGCCAAATGTTTAGTCCTTAAAGAAGCTCTTGGTTTGTGTGGTAAGTTTGCAGGTCTACATGTTTGTATTGAGATAGATTACGAACTTCTTTTCTAGTTTTTCAGGTTGAGATCTGTTGATGGGTGTGAGTGAAAGTATGTGAACCTGCTGCATGATATTTTTTTCTTTGCTGGAATCGTTGCCTTGCGTTTCTTTTTCCCAGGTTTGTCGCCGTGGGAATCCTGCTGCAGATCTACTTACAGCCAAAGGTTTGAGGGAGATGTAACCTGCTGGATATCTCCTCTGGTACCAATTATTTTGGCTGATTCACAAAGTTGCACTGTTCAAGCGATGGGATGTTTGAGGCTCAGCCACGTGAAGGTAATGGTTCTCTCTCTCTCTCTCTCTCCCCCCTCCCTCCCTCCCTCTTTGTTTTTTTTTTTTTTTTGCTTTTTTGGTTTGTTTTTACTTTGTATTTTAGGAATGTGTGTGTTAGTTTATTTTTAGTTTTTTACCTTATGGGTTGTATTTAGGAATGTGTTGCGTGTGTGTGTTGCTTTTTGGGTTTGTATTTACTTTATCGGTTGTATTTTAGGAATTTACTTTTCGGATTGTGTGTTTGTGTTGCTTTTTTGGTTTGGTTTTATTTTATAGGTTGTATTTCGGGAATTTATTTTTGGATTGGTTTTACCCTAGGTGTTCTTTCTTTTTGCTTTCTATGATTAGTATGTGTAATAATTTTTTAATGTTAATAAAATGGGCTCTCTTTTTGTGCAAAAAAAAATCATTTAACATTTTTTTAACTAAAATATCCAACTTAACATAAATATTTATTTGGGTATACTGAAAACAAATATTTTAAACTTTTTAAACTTTTCTTTTTTGGGTCACTTGTTAACTTTACCGTTAAACCTGCTTCTGTTAAAAAAATTGAAATTTTAATCTTTTTATCATTTTTCTTAAATTAATTGAGGAGATCAATTTGTTAAATGAAAGGTAAAGATCAAAATGGACGAAAAGGCAAAGATGAACAATGGAGGAATGGCACCAATTGCCAACAATGAAGTGCGTCTTGATAAACATATTTTAATTAATGTGTTCACATTTATTTCAAATAAAATTATTTTTAACAGGAGAACACTAATATACAATGAAAAAAAATCAGCTTTTGTTATTTCATTTAGTAGTCATATTTAAAAAATTATAGGAATATAATGTCTTTTTCTTTTTCTTTTTCTTTTTTTCTAATTTGAGTTGGCAAATGTCGAAACATATGCAAGCGCAGCTTAAACTCATGATGTGAGCATCACATGAATGCTTTTATGCTAATTGAACCAAATGTTCTTGGCAGGAAGATTAAGCAAAGCTATGCTTAATATACACATGATTCAAAGCTATGCATATTTTAATCTATTTTTTTCAAAAAAATAATAATAAAAGATTAAGCAAATCAGGCATCTCTAAATGAAAGGAGGAGTCATCTGCAGTTGATATTAAAAATCTGCATTACAATTGATGTATTTGCTTTTTAAGTATCAAACTAAAACAATTTGACAATTTCTGCGACTGTAACTAAATATGGAAAATAAGCAAAAGTTCTTTTATTGGCATTGAGGAAAAATAATTTTTAAAACTTGTCTCGTCAATGTACTTCTAATTTTCTATACAGAGTCTAAGGTACCAAACGCAATAAAGTTCACGCTAATATCATCTGATAAATACCACCGTCCAGTCAGAGGGTTATAAACAAACCCTGCCATCTCCTTCACCTGTACAAACGATCAAGATTACCGGAGGGAAAAGAAGGTCCACAAGTGTAAAGATTAGCACAAAAAGTTAGACTCAGCTGAGAGTTCCAAAGGAGGCTGTTAATCTAATATATATTTAGGTCCTGTTTAATTAAAACAAAAATGAAAGAAATTAAAAATAAAAATAAATTAGATTATCCTTCCCTTTATGGTAAACATGATAAAACCTAATACTACCTATTACAAAGGGGCAATCATCAAACCCTTAACAAACTTTACGAATCATGACTTCCATCTTCATAAACTAAATTACCCTTCTGTCTCATAAATATGGTTGACCTATCTTTTTTCCACATTTTAATCATTTTATTTTTGCTTTTATGTCTTTGATCCATTCAATTTTTGTCATTTCTAGCAACCAAATGATGTCTTAATTGTCTATCCTGATTTAAAATTTATAGAAGCCACATTGTTCATAAACTATAATTTTATGAACAACACGACTCACATCAAACTCAAGGTAAAGATTGAGTTTATAATCTAAATATATAATACATTTAACTTACATTGACATTGGCACGTTGTAGAATTGAGTTTATAATCTAAATATATAATACATTTAACTTACATTGACATTGGCACGTTGTAGAATAAGGGCTAGTTCTTCAGGAGTAAGAAAACAGGACCACTGATGTGTTCCTTTGGGGAGCTGCAAAGTATCAACCACATATAGATGTAACAATTTGAATAGAGAAAATGAAAGTTAAGGACTTGTAATAATGATACTTAAGAATTAAATATTTTAATAATCATGAAGATAAATTCCAGTAATACTTGTTAAAGTCTCAACTCAGATATTTACTTGGTTTTCTAGATATTACAAGAGTTTTGTTCATTCAAATACGATAACAAATTTAAAATGTCCAAGTGATCCTATATGAATTTTTTTAAAATTTTTAAAATTCTTTGATTGACATTAATCGAAGTTATAGGTCATTAATGTCATTTTTTATCTACATAAATCAATCGCAACCATCTTCTATATATAAAACAAAGACATGAAACACTACGTGGACATATGTATCCTTCCATAAAACAACAATTCTAGCATTATCATTGCATTTGAAGTACCTGATATATTTTTCAAAGAGACCAGCTAAATAAGAAAACTTATTTTGTTTTTTGGGTTACATCATTAGAGTTTGATCCTTGGACCTCTACCCATATCCCACGACATCCTTACCACCAAGTTTAACCTCACGCGGGAAGTTTAAACTTTATCATCCGAACAGTTTATGTGCTAAACAGATCATTAAAAACTTCTATCCGATCAAGATGGAGGATCAGATGGAGTTCCTAACTTCTCATTACAAAATTTTCGGGAGGATGGGGTAACTAGTGTGTCTTAAGTCTGACATATTTATACCATTGAACACACGTCAATAGAATCAGTGCCTGAAAACTAGTAAATTTCAGAGGATGAGATAGGGTGAACGAGTTTATAGCAACTCAGAATTCCAGATGCGCCTAATGGAATCATCAAAAAATTGAACAGCAGAATGAACAAAAGAATCCTACCCAGCCGAGAATGTATTCTGCAGCAACAATGGCCGTAGCATATGCCCTCATTGACCGATTGATTGTTGAAATTACAGTGGCTCCATTTGGGACAGTTAGTGCTGCCAGGGATTTGCAGAACTCTGCAGGATCTGCTACGTGTTCAATCACCTGTCAAAAAAATTCCAAGAAGCACAGTGTATAGAAGTCCCAAACATCATAATATGCTCAATAAAAGCGCTGAACAACATATCAAAGGTCTAAACTGTATAAACGCTACTGGAAATCCACACCATTCATCAAAGTCTAAACTCAAAACTGAATTTAAAAGGTGATCTTCACACTAATGTCTAATTGTCTACATGCGTATCTACACACAGTATCAACATGTATTACATATTTATATTCACATATGCACTATACTTGTGCACATAAAAGAAGCGGAGAGTTAAAGAGTCATAATACCTCTAAGGCCATCACAGCATCAAATTTTCTGCCTTTTTCAACAAGCTTCTCTGATCATAAAATCATTTCACCAGAGCTCGTAAATATTGTAATTTGTGAATTGATGAACACTGGTGTAATTTGGGCATTACAACCAGGGGGAAAAACAAATCCGCCATACAGAAAACAAAAAAACAAAAAAAAAATCCAATAGAGGATGCGTGGCTATGTCCTTTTACTTGAAAACTCTTTTCTCAATTGAAGAAGAGTTCGCTATACGAAAGAAGTTAAAAACAAAATGGAGGATAATAATTAATAAATCCTCCTAAAGCAACAAAAAAAAAAAGAAAAAGAAAAGTTGGAGATAAAAAGAAAACTAAAATAGCCCAAAAGATCTCCCCAAACATCTGCAAAAAAAAAAAAAAAAATCAATAAATTTTGTGCTGAAACATGAAAGTCAAGAAAATAGTTGTATCCCACAAAAAATGGAGGGAAGCTTCCTGCTAAGAACTCTGGCATTGTACTCCCTCATAAACACCACAACCAGGTGAAGGCCTCATAATCAAGATCTCGCTCTCTTCAACGGATAGAAAATTTGATGCACCACAGTTGTCCCTCCCCTTTTTCAGGGGCAGAGCCACAGAGGGGCAGCTTCTCACATCAGCCAATTAGGCTATGCATAACAGCAGAAGTATGACTCTTGGATTTTAGTTGCAGGACTTGTACTAACATATTTGCCACTACTATGATCAATATCCATTTCCAACATTGTTTGAGGGAAAGTGTTGATGAATGGAGAAAACCCTTACTTCAATATAAGGTAATACCAGGAGATAATACAATGAATGAGAAAATGAACGGTTTTGTTCTCTGGGAAAATGACCTTTTTTTACTTGTTTCCTCCCACTCTCATACCCCACCAATTACAGTCATAAATAGCGTATAAGTTACAGAAAAAGAACATGGAGGCAGTAAGAAGTCACAATTAAAAATAAAATAGAGCATTTTCAATGATAAAAGGCTAGCATAGCGCATCATATCCTCACATAAGAAGTCAGTTCTTTATGCATGCAAAGATTACTCAGTCAGAAAGCTAGGAAAATAAATAAAGAAAGGTGCAGTTATCAGCCATAGTAATAACTAACAAGTAAGATAGTTTTCAAATATTAAAAGGAAAATAGCAATATAAAAATACTTAAAGACAAACAGGCACATCATGGAAGCATGCGAGAAGTATGAATTAATGCTTGACCTACACATAAAATACAAAAGATTTGCATATGTACCAGCTGTTGTGCAACAATACTCAATGGTTGAAGTTCCTGGATCCAGATCCTATGATGTATGAAAAAGTTGTCATTAAGTTATTCATCTAATAGTGAAGATGTAATAAAATAAATTACTAAATACTACTATCTAACAATTGCTTCCACCCAATGTAAACAATTTCAAGTTTGCAAATATAGTTGATAAACTCTCTATAACAATTCCCAGCTCTATATCTTATAGCTATAGCCACCAAATACAATATAGCATACAATGCACTAAAATTTTCAGGCGCAAAAATAAAAGTGAAGATGCTTTCAACCATTAATCACTTGAATTTCATTTACTAGAAAAATTTTACCACACTACCAATTGTTGCTTTCAAATGAAATCAGAAATAAAATAAAATTGCAGGTTATTGTTTGACTGCTTATGTCTCATTGGCCATTGCAGTGGTTTAAGTGGAGGAGTTTCAAATTCACAGCACAACACTTTTTGAAAATAATTGACTTTTATACACTTGCCAAACCAGAGTGAACAGTGAACACCCTAATACCACTTTTTCTCTTTTGGTGACTCACAAATGAAGACATATTTCAAAATATAATAGAAAATATTTCAGGATTGATCATGAGCTAAAATAAGGTTAGAAAACTTATGTGTCTTGAGCTCGTATTAAATACAAATTCCCCAGGAAATTTTTTTCAAGAAAAAAAAAAGAAGAAATAAAGAAAGAAAGAAAGGGGAAAAAAACAAGAAGCAAAAAAGGGAGTGCGCTAATTTATGACATCATATCCTAGCACTAAAACAGACACTATTTGACAGTTGATAGAATCCGAGTACAATTATGTTAAACATAGTTTAAACAAATGTTTATGAAATAAGCATACAGCATGAAGCCGAGCAATCTTGATATTCTTCTCTACCGCATCAACTCCTGTAACAGTAGCTCCCATCCGAGCCAACGGCTGAATAGCAAGTATAAATAGTTAGACAGCAGTTAAAACCTTACAAATCTTAATAATGTTAAATTCAACAAATACACACACACGCATATGAATAAACAGCAAGTATAAACAATTAAACAAGGAACATCATTGATAAACAATGTGCAGTAGTGCGAGTGTGTGTCTAGAAAATATTCTACTATCATACACATTATTTGTGCATGACTGCTGCTTGACAATAAAAGAAAAACGTGAGAAGGCCCATAATTTCAAAATAAAAAGCAAAAGGCTATGACAGAGATGAAATGATAACTGAATCCATTTGTTTCCTTAAAAAGAATCTAAGACACTCTTATACATCGATGTGCGCAACCACACAACTTCTCAAAACCTTACTGCCTTAGTTCTCCAAGATGAATAAAACAGACATATAAACATATAATTTTCTTTTCGTCAATTCAATAGAAGCTTAAAGAATTCATCTCGAAAAGGAAGCATAAACCAAGAATGGCTTTGTGACTCCTAACTACTGTTAAAGTCAATAAGGCACCTGCTACACTAAACCAATTTGAGGACACTTAAAATTTTAACAATAAAAATTATTCTAGAAGCCAAATACCCTACATAAAACCCATGAGTTCCGAAAACCACATAAAATGAAGAAAATATGTACCTCAGAGAGAATTCCGCCACCGCAACCTACATCAACAATTTTAAGTCCTTCAAGAGGCTGAGCACTGCTAGGGTCCTTCCTGAGACAAGGAAAACCTATGATCGTCCATGTAGTATTAAGGCTTTAGGAATTAATATACATTACTGTGGGAATATTATGTTATTATTGAGAATTATTAGCATTTATTAGGATCTCATTAATTAGGCTTTATTAGTATTTATTAGCTTATGTTATTATTGAGAATTATTAGCATTTATTAGGATCTCATTAATTAGGCTTTATTAGTATTTATTAGCTTTTATCTCTTTTGATGTATATATATAGGACCAGTGTGTACATTAGAATTGCAATGTGACAATACAATTTTTTCCTCTCTGAAAATTCCACATGGTATCAGAGCATCAGGCTCAAAATTTCAAATTAAATTAGTTCTGGAATGGCTAGAATGGGGCTGCCTGAACAGTACGTGACGATGTTTGTGTGGACAATGGTGGAGCGAGTTTTGAATCTCACCGCCACCCTAGACGTACTCAGGAGGCTCCAAACGACGAAACCCAGGGCGGCGGCGGCGAACGGCGGCGCGTGGAGGCTCCGTTCAGGACGCGATCTTCTCGGACGGCAACGACGCACTCTCTCCGGCAAGATCCAGCACAATCCGGTGTATGGGCACATCGTTTTCGAACCATATCAGGTCGTATGGTGTTGTTAGTGCCCTGTTTTGCTGGATTTGGAGTTATATTGGGTTGTGGCTTCTGTTTTCAGTCTACCAGAAAGCTTTTCCCTCATTTGAAGTGCTAGGGGTGGTGCTGTGGCTACTTTTATGTAGTGTTGTGCATAATTCCAGATCTGCACCCATGGCATTTGTGGCAAAAAGAGGGTCTTTCCTTCAGGCTTTAAAGACGACTCGAAGTGCAGTGGTCTGGATCGTGGATTCCGGGGCATCTGATCATATGACTAATTGTCATCAATTGTTCACCACTTACACCCCATGTGCTGGAAATATTAAAGTGAAAATTGCAGACGGCTCCTTAGCACCGGTGGCAGGAAAAGGGAGTATCCGTATATCAGATTCTATTACTTTGGAATCTGTCCTTCACGTGCCAAAACTTGACTGTAATTTACTTTCAATCAGTCAACTGACCAGGCACTCAAATTGTTTTGCTAAATTTCTCCCGTCACATTGTGTGTTTCAGGATCTATCATCTGGTGCGACAATCGGCAATGCCAAAGAATATGAGGGGCTCTACTATTTAGAGGTCGTCACTCGAGTAGATAACCCACCTATTGTTGGTAATTCTGCATCTACCTCTAAAGTTCATGATTTTATGTTATGGCATAAGAGAATGGGTCATCCCAATTTTCATTACCTTCAGCGGTTGTTTCCAAACTTATGCTCGACCTTGAATCATAGTGAAATCCAGTGTGAGGTATGTGAACTTGCCAAACACCATCGAACTTCCTTTCCTAGAGCCAAATACACACCTACCAAACCTTTCATAACCATCCACAGTGATTTGTGGGGACCATCTCGCACTTCAAACCGTACTCAAACAAAATGGTTCATCTCCTTCATTGATGACCACACTCGTGTTTGTTGGGTTTACCTTTTGAAAAACAAGTCCGAGGCTGCATCCACATTCATGAGTTTTTTCACCATGATCAAAAACCAATTCAACACTAGCATTCAAGTTTTACACACCGATAATGGCACTGAATACTTCAACCAATCTTTGAGTAATTTTCTCCAAATGCATGGGATTATCCATACCAGTACGTGTGCCCATACACCCCAACAAAATGGGATCGCAGAAAGAAAAAATAGACATATCCTTGAAGTTGCAAGAGCACTCATGTTCACTTGCAACGTGCCAAAGTTTTATTGGGGAGATGCCATTTTAACCGCAACCTATCTCATCAACCGGATGCCCAGTCGAATATTAGCCTTCAAAACTCCTCTCCAAAAATTGCAGAGTGTTTTTCCTACATCCCACATTGAAACCAAACTTCCGCTTCGTGTGTTTGGGTGCGCAACCTTTGTTCATATCCACCAAAGCAGTAAACTTGAACCTCGAGCTATCAAGTGTATCTTCCTTGGCTATTCTCCTACTCAAAGAGGATATAAGTGCTTTGATCCTATTTCTAAACGCATCCTTGTAAGCCTTGATGTTACTTTCCATGAAGAAACTCCTTTTTATTCCAATTCCTCAATTCAGGGGGAGAATATAGGTGAATCTCAGACTTGGGAACTAGAACCTAACGCCGAATATATACTTCTTGAGTCCGTGTCTCCTTTACTAGAACCATCACCCTTACCTTTGTCCAACATCCCACCTTCACCAACCTCTTCTCTTATGCCAAAGTTTGAGGAAAACAAGAAAACAGAGAAAGATATGGAAAGACCACAAAAGGGGGAGTTGTTAGTTTACACTCGAAAGAAGAAAACAAAAGATAGTGAGCAACTTGTACCTGAGGCACCAAGAAAGTCAGAACCAGAGGTAGTCCCTGAAGCTGACGTACCAAAGATTGATTCATCTAGTAAGCCAGATGACTCAGAACAAAGATGTGAATCTATTGATCTTGATCTACCTATTGCCCTTCGGAAACAACCTCGGTCTTGTACTTTGCATCTGATTCAGAAGCATGTGTCCTACAAGGCTCTCTCTCCTGGTTACCGAGCCTTCATCACTAATTTGGATAAAGTTGTTATTCCTAACAACATCCAAGAAGCATTGGAAATACCAGAATGGAGAAATGCAGTTATGGAGGAAATGAAAGCTTTGGAGAAAAATGAAACATGGGAGATTGTTGAAAGACCTGGAGGTAAGAAACTAGTTAGTTGCAAGTGGGTCTTTACCCCAAAGTATAAGGCTGATAAGCACACTTGACAAGTTGAAAGCACGGTTAGTAGCAAGAGGTTTCACCCAGACTTATGGCATAGACTACAAAGAGACGTTTGCGCCAGTGGCAAAACTGAACACTATAAGAATCTTATTGTCAGTGGCAGCCAACCTTGAATGGCATCTTCATCAACTAGATATCAAAAATGCTTTTCTAAATGGAGAATTGAAGGAAGAAGTCTACATGACTTTACCTCCTGGGTTTGATAGAGGCAGAAATGAAAAAGTATGTCGGCTGAAAAAATCACTGTATGGCTTGAAACAGTCACCTAGGGCATGGTTTGACAGATTCTCAAAGGTCCTGAAGTTAGAAGGCTACAAGCAAGGATTGTCAGATCATATGATGTTTGTTAAGGCTGAGGGAGCTAAGAAGTGCATCCTCATTGTGTACGTTGATGATATAATCCTTACAGGAGATCATGTTGATGAAATAGCAAGGATAAAAACTATCCTTAGTAAGGAATTTGAAGTTAAGGATCTTGGGAACTTGAAATATTTTCTTGGGATGGAAGTTGCTAGGTCAAAACGAGGAATATATGTATCTCAGAGGAAGTATATACTTGATCTTCTCAAGGAAACTGGCATGTTGGGTTGTAAACCTAAGGAAACTCCTATTGTGGTCTCGAAAAAGAAGAGGCCACCTAAGAAAAGCAGCACTGAGGAGTTAGAAGGAGAAGACAACTCTGATAATGAAGTTGAAGAAGAAGAAGACAAGGAGAAAGAAGAAACCATTGATAAAGACAGATATCAGAGACTGGTTGGGAAGCTGATTTATTTATCCCATACGAGGCCAGATATTGCTTTTGCTGTCAGTGTAGTAAGTCAATACATGTGTGATCCAAGGAAGAGACACCTGGAAGCTGTATATAGGATTCTCAGATACCTTAAGGGTACACCTGGTAAGGGATTGTTATTCAAGAAGCATGATCAAAGGACAATTGAGATTTACACCGATGCAGACTGGGGGGAGACTTATGGAGACAGGAGATCCACCTCTGGCTATTGTTCATTTGTGTGGGGAAACTTAGTAACCTGGAAAAGTCAAAAGCAAAGAGTTGTATCCAGAAGCAGTGCTGAATCAAAATTGAGAGCATTAGCTCAAGGAATTACAGAAGAACTATGGATAAGAAGGGTCATGGAAGAAATAGAAGTCAGAGTTGATTCACCAATGAAATTGTATTGTGATAATAAGGCTGCTATAAGCATGGCATTGAATCCTGTACAGCATGAGAGATTTAAACATGTTGAAGTGGATAGACATTTTATCAGAGAGAAAGTAGAAGGAGGTATTGTATGTCTGACATACCTACCTACAAAGTTACAAGCTGCGGATGTACTAACCAAGGGGCTACCCAAGCCTGCATTTGAGAGTTGTATAAGCAAGTTGGACATGATTAGCATCTATGATCCAACTTGAGGGGGAGTGTGGGAATATTATGTTATTATTGAGAATTATTAGCATTTATTAGGATCTCATTAATTAGGCTTTATTAGTATTTATTAGCTTATGTTATTATTGAGAATTATTAGCATTTATTAGGATCTCATTAATTAGGCTTTATTAGTATTTATTAGCTTTTATCTCTTTTGATGTATATATATAGGACCAATGTGTACATTAGAATTGCAATGTGACAATACAATTTTTTCCTCTCTGAAAATTCCACATTACATATCAAGCACTTTCCATAAAAGTGACTTACAGAAAAAACAGCTCCTTGACTCGAAATAGCTGTGATAACTAAGAAGGACTGAAAGAGGAGGAAAAGAAGCATGCGGAAAACCAAAATATAAAAATTTGAACTATTCTGACTGTTGCATACCTAAAATGCCGACACAGCGTTGACCGGATGAACGCAAGTCTTGTAGGATTCATAACATGCAAAGGTTTAAATGGACCATCAGAATCCCACCTAAGTACATCAAGACAAGAAAAATAGATGTCATTCATAAAATAATAACAAGATGAACATATTGTGGTTTTAAAATGTTGCCTTGAAAGAAGTCATACTGTTGAGGAAATGGTGCCTAAAATTCCAATTCTATAAACATCTCAAAGCACTAATTGACTGGTTGTTGCCAACAAAAAAGGTTGAATTTGTTGCTCATTGTTTTATTAAAAGTATTTTTACTTACAGCAAAAACAGTACCAGGCCACATGCACTATATATGTCATTTTCTTTCCACAAATTTCCTCCTTCCCTGTTTATTAACATTAAGTTTCCAACCCGATGATCTTCAGAACGCTGCTTCGTGAATGGAAAGTATGATCAAATTAGAGCTGATGCGAACGGAGCATCAGCTTTAAATTTCCGCACTTCCAGTGTCATCATAGTCATAACTAGAAAAACTAGAAACCAATTGCTCACTTTTCCCGTCGACATTGTTCTTTGTGACCATTTCCACATTATCAGACAACAAAGGCAAGGAATAGACTAAAACCAAAATAAAATACCATGTTTCAGCAATAGCAGCAAATTTAGCCAGCTCAATCTCCTTCAAAGATGAAGAGGAGGAAGCCGACGCCGCACCGTTTTCAATTTTTGGACTAGTCCGAGGCGGAGGCAATTCCTTGGGAGAAGAGGCAGAGGGCTCGATGGGGGACAATGGTTGACAAGAACCATTGGAAAAGCGCCTAATACTGAGGAGAGAGCGGGTTGCATCCGAAGCATTAGAAAATCGATGCACGAGAATTCGGAGAGTCACGGTGTTTGTCAGATTTCGAATTTGGCTCGAGAGCTTGGAAGCCATAGCCAAGAAGGTACGTGCTCGGTGCTCCATTTTGAACGTCACTCCTTTCTACTGTAAGTCCGGGTTGACCCGGAAATACCATCATAAATCGGTTGCATCGTTGGGCCCCAGATTTTAGGTTGCACGGAATTGGTGGAGAAGGGCGAGCAATCAATCAGTTCGGTTCCAATTTTTTAAAAATCAATCAACTAAATTATATAAAAAATTTGAATTGAATCGAAGTAAAATACATAATCAAATCAAATTAAAATTAAATTAAATTATAATAATTTGTTTCAATTGATCTATTCAATTCATGAGCCTTAATTTGAATTCATAGGGTCTAATTGTTCATATATTCTTCTATCTATTTTTTTTTCTTAATGTTGAATGCCTAACAAAAAATAGTAATCTTATACCATAATTTATGAGAAAATTAATAAAACTTAATACTATTGCATTAAAAACTAAATTATAAAAATAAAAAATGTGAACATCACATAACAAAAAAAAAACTACTACTACAAATGGTAAAAAGATGTTTTTTACTCACTTAAATGAGAATTTATTCACATTTTTTAAAATATAAAAAGAAAAATATGTATAATTCGATCGGTTTGGTTTATTTGATTCAAAAATTCTTAGACTAAATCGAATCGATCAACTGAAATTTTTCTTAAAGGAAACCGAATTGAATTGAAAAACCAAATAGATTAAATCAAATAAACAAAACTCAATTCAACTCGGTTGGATTTTTGATTTCGATTCAGTTTTGCTCACCCTTAGTGAAGATGCTTTGGTGTCATTACATACTACCAACATGTAGACCATATAGTGTTGATTCAAAGACTTAGGCTTAAACAAGTCTTTTTTTTTTTTAATCACAAGCTGGAATTCACTCAAAACAAGAAAAAGGAACGGTACAAAACACTTAATACAAATCTAGTGGAAGCAGTCTCAATCATCATTCACCTCTTAATGTAAAATCAGGTGGTGCATTATCAAAGATGCAAAAGGAGCTATCCAAAAAATGAGCTTACCTAGCAAGAGAATGAGCATGACTAATAACATTCCTAAAAACAAAATTAATAGAAATAGTCCAATCTTGATAAAAAGATTACAAGCTTTTTTAATAATATCATGGTACAAGTAACCTTCAGGGTAACTTAGTGATGAGGTTAATAGCTTCAACGCTATCTAGATAGACTACCACATTCCTAAAACCTTTAGAGCAGCAAAGTTCAAGGCCTTCATAAATTTTTGAGACTTCAGCAATGATATATGGATAGTTTCCAAGTTTACAGTTAAACCTTACTAACCATCCTCCATTATCATCAGTAATGCAACTACCATAAGTAGCAAATCCATTAAAGGAGGAGCCATCAACATCAAGTCTAATTATACCATGAGAGGGTGTTCCAAGTTCTTGTACAAGGTGATCTTGAATGTGAAGTATAGATCTGCCTTAACCATCTAGAGTCGATCATTGCCTTTATGAGGCATTTGTTTGGGTCTTACTGAATAAAGAGATCTTAAGAGTCAAAGAGATTCTTTCATTGTATACACCAAAGATCCTAACACATATGAGCAAAAATTATTGTTTAACGCAAACTTGAGTTAGAGCTGAGACATGGTAGATTAGAAGAGTTCTATTTGATCCATTCTAGACAATCTAATTTCATAAAGTTAGACCAAAGATTAGGTTTGACTAGCTACATCCACACTTCTTTAGCAAATATGCAATCACACACAGTATGCATGGTAGTCTCCTTCGCTCCATATACAAGTGGGCATAAATAGGAGTCAGCTATTCCCTGTTTGACTCACAAGCTTACTATGTGAAGTCTATCCTTTCCAAGGAGCTAAAGGAAGGCTTTGATCTTTTCTGGCATGCTCCACTTCCAAATTTTCATCTAGATTTGCTCCTTTCTCAATGATGTACCTATAACAAGGAAATCATAGGCAGAAGAGATGTTTAAAGAGCCATTAATGGATAGCTTCCATGTAAATTTTTCTCTCCCTCTCCTCTCACTGGGTGAGCTAGAACTAGTGACTAATAACAGAGTAATCAAGCCATTTCATCATTTCAATACGGTCCCAAGCACCATTCAAACTGATGAATTGTTCAATTGCTATATTAAGGTTTACTAGGAGGGTAGTATTTTGAATAACCATGATTAGTGGCTAATTAATGGTAGACCAATTATCATACCAGAAGTTAGACGTTCTTCTAAAGATACATCTCTTGTCAAGTCCTCTTAAGAAGCTCTCCTAAAGTTTGTTAATTCTCTTCCAAGTTTTGGAGGAGTGTTTCCGTTTACAGACCGATGGGAGAATTTCATTTCCACATTTATACTTAGTCTTCAAAACTCTAACCCACAAAGCTTCCTTATTGGTCACTAAATTCCAGCAAAGCTTAAGGATGAAAGCTTGGTTTTGACTAACAAGGCCTTTCACCCTTAATCCTCCTTCATCTTTTTTGAGCTTCATAATATCCCAAGACACTAAGTGCATTTTTCTTTTGTTATCACAACAGCCCTAAAGGAAATTATTGTTAGCTTTTTCAATATTAATCAACAACTTTTTTGGAATGAGCATGGTTTGCATGTGGTAGTTTGGTAAGGTTGTCAGAACAGACTTAATGAGCATATATCTACTTGTAAAAGTTAAGAGTTTGCCTTTCTAGCCAGACAATTTCTTGTGAATCCTTCCCAGGATAGGTTTGAAGTGATTGCAAGAGGCTCTTATGTGTAGGGGAGGGATTTCAAGGTACTTTATAAGGTCATCAATAAGCCCAATACCTATAACTTTACTCAGATTCATCGCTCTAGAGATGTGGACTGCCTTTGAGACACACATTTATGTTTTGCTTTTATTTACTAAGTGTCAAGGCTTTACTGTAACACACCAAATTTTTTTTTAAATAATTTAACTCAATCATAGTTGGGTTACAACCACCCAACACATTTTATATCAATAATTTTAATATAAAAATATTTTATAATTGGCTTCAACTCGCACAATATAATATTTCAACTAAATTTTTACCTCCCACATGCCATTAGGCTAAATCATATTTGTCCATCCTTATGCTCCCAACAAGTAAACTAAATCACATTTGTCCATCCTTATACTCCCAACAAGTAAAATAACTAATTTAGTAAATTTTCAAAACAAGCCAGTTATTTGGCCTCATAATCATGCCATTTTAACCAATTCAAAGTAAACCAAATATTAAAATTACAATCATCCAAAGTGTATGAAAAATAGAAATAGTTTAAAAGGCATGATTACATTTATATATTCATATAATTATCAATAAACAAAAAGTCCTAATATTGATAATATAAAACATTATAAATCATAAATCAAATACCCAAAAGAGGCAGTGGATCTATGCCACTAAGCCTCTGGGACTCCTCCACGTGTCACTCGTGGCTTTTCTCCTGAAAATTGTTAACCACATAATAAGACTCAAAAGTCTCAGTAACCAAAGTCAATTTATGATAGTATATACCAACAGTTAAATGTGTGCTTATTAAATGAGAATTAAAAATAATATATTTTCAACAAATATAAGAAATATTACAATACATACAAATAACCATCCTTATATCCTTTCATTAATCTCGAGCCGTAGCCCTCACTCGGTGCTAAATTACCCAGCCAAAGGTAGATTAGCCTGAGCCCTTACAAGCCACCTATTGAGCTCCAATAGGGGCGTACCACGTGGCACATAAATACAACAACAATAGCAAGTTTCCCAACATCTCCCACAACAATCAAACAAATTCATAATAATATTGCACAATTATATAATATTACAAAATTCATAGTTTTCTCAATAATCACCCAATTAACATGAAGTAACTCTAATCATAAATTAAAAGCATGGTTACCTCGTGGCTTTTTCAATAAATTATCCCTTACAATTTCTCTCCCACCACAATCTTCACCAATAATACAATCTACAAATAACATATTATTTATAAATATTAGTTCCAATTTTTGAAACTAATAAAATAATTCTAATAATAAAATTAAAAATATAACATAATTCTTAATCTCAATCTTAATACAAATCTAGAGTTAATACTATTAAGTAAAATTTTTAACTCCTCTTTTACTCATCAATAAACATTAATAATCTAAAAATCAACTTCTAAACTAATTTCTATTATCAAAATTTTCTTTTTATTTCATAAATTCGCACCTAAAATACCCAAAAATTAAAAATTAAATCTCTAGCTTAGAATCATAATCCTATAGCTATAATAATTCATTTCTCATCCCAAATAATCATCTAAACCTCAATAAATCAACATATATTTTTTAGATTTAATAAAAATCTAGTCTAGAATTTGATCCATAAGCCACAAATTCAAAAATCATTAATAAATTTATACTCTAGAATATTTATTATACTACTAACAACCTCAAAAACTATATTTATTCAACATAAATTCATCCCTCTTCCAAATCCTAAATTTTCTACCACCATAAAATTAAAAATTAAAGAAGAAAGATGACTAAGAAAAAAAATTTTAGAACACTTACTTAGTCTTGAAAAACTTAAAATCACATCTTAAATATCCTATTAAAAACTCTTATGTTAAAAACTCAGATCTCTCGCACCGGCGACTCACGCTCACTCTGCCTCAGCTCACGCACGAAGGAAAGAATGAAGAAACGAAGGAAACAGGTGAGTTTTTATAAAAATTCAGTGGGTCTCATATTTTTTTTATTTTTTTCTTTCCTCTCTCTTCTTTCTTTTTTTTTTATTATTTTACATGTAATCATTACGCAGCATCTTCTTTTTCTTCATCATTTTTTTAATACCTTTCTTTTTTTTATAATAACAATAATTTAATAATATTTATTATTATTATTATTATTTTAATTAATAATTTTTTATTTAGAATTATATCCTAAGTTAGATTTAATAATCATCTCCTACTAATTTACTTATCTCTAAATATTTTTTAAAATTTTTATTAAGTCAAATTAACTATTTAAATTTAAATTGGGATGTTACATTTACAAAACTTGTCAAGATAGTTATTAATAACTTCTATT